ATTGATGGTAACTCGACCTGAGATCGATCTTTGAATAATACTTTGAGCCTCTAAGTTGGTCAAAAAGATCATCAATCCTTGGGAGCGGGTTTCGGTTTTTTATTGTGACTTGGTTGAGTTGACAGTAGTCGATGCATAGTCTTAACGACCCATCATTCTTTTTAGCAAACAGAATGGGCACTTCCCACAGTGAAGTACTTGGCCTAATAAATCCTTTTTTAGGCAACTCTTGCAATTGCGTCTTTAATTCTCGTAGTTCCGTCGATGCCATACGATATGGGGTAGATATTGAAGTAGTTCCAAATTGTAACTCAATACTAAAGTCTACCTCCTGGGTTGGTTGCAATCCCCTATAATTCCTCAGGAAGTACATCTGCATATTCGCATACTACTCGTAGGAGTTTTAATTCTGTATGGTCCTCCTCATTTAAAATCAAACTTGCTACCCTACCTAGAAGTTGATCGTGCCACAACATCCTATGTTGTGTTAAAGTCAGGGAATCTTGCCTATCCCCTTTAAACTAGAAGCATGCTCCATCAGGCGTGTGAGCCACTACCTTCCTTTGATGGCAATCGATCGCCACTCAATGAGCAGACAACCAGTTCGTGCCCAAAATTATATCGAAGTTCGACATCTCCTTGACATGAAGGTTGCAAGTCAGGCGTAGGTCCAAGACTCCTATCTTACAATCCTTACAGATCAACCCTATCCGAACGCACCCTCCTACAGGTGACATTACAGTTAAGGCAATTTATAAGGGTTCACATACAAGTTCTAATGACTTAGCATAAGTAGAGGACATAAAAGAATGCGATGCACCAGTATCAAATAAAACATGCACCCAAGAATTATATAGTACTAAATTACCCTCAATTATGGGTGGGTCCCCCTTCTCTTCTTGCAAGGCAAAGACTTTATCGGTTGCCTTCTGGTTGCCACTGGTCTTGGCATTCGGAGTTCCTCCACTCTTCTGGCGTTGTTGTCTGATAGATCCTATCTTGTTTAACCAAGGCTTCTGTCCACCTACTGCCTAGGCATTTGCTTCGGAGCCTCCTTCATGGTGTCCCGATGGAGAGAGTTGGGGGCATTTGCTCTTTTTGTGGCCTAGCTGCTGACAATGAAAGCACTGGATTTGTCCTGCCAGCCTTAATTGATAACCTCCCTTCTGGATTTGTTGTTGCGGTTGTTGCCATTGTTGTTGTGGCTATAGCCTTGAGTAGGGCTTCGGGGCTGTATTTTTTTTCTGGTTCCTCAGAGGTCTTACAGATGTTTGACCCCCTTTCCACTTGTTCTAAGCCTTCCTAGCAACGACTACTTCCCTTTTAGATTCTAATGCCATCTCCAATACCTTAGCATATAAGTGAAGCCGTTGCAGTAGAACTCTCCCTCTAATTGTAAGGTCTAGCCCCTGTTCAAACATCCTTGCTTTCTCTTCATCATTTGCTACATACCTAGTTATGAAGTGGGCTAGTCCTTCAAATTTTGCGACATATTGGGTTACGGTCAAATTCCCTTGCTCCAGGTTTTGGAATTTCGTAACTCGCTCTCGACGAATGGTACTTGGAAAATATTTATTTAGGAACAATTCCTTAAACTAGTTCTATGACATGTTTGTAATGTCACGAGTATTCTTGATTAGTTCCCACCAATGATCGGCCTCATCATCTAGCTTGAATACTGCCAAGGCTCTCATATCGGCATCTTCAATTATCCCCATAGTGTCTCGCATTTTCTTTATCTGCCGAAGCAAATTTTCAGCCACTTTCGGATTTGGTGCTTTTGTGAACTTTGGGGGCCTTTGTTTTCTAAATTCTGAAAAAGTCGAGTCCTTTCATTTTGTCGATTGTTCTTTAGTTATCCTAGTTACTCCAGAATTTGAAGCCCAAGATTATTAGGGATATTGGCTCCAGTGGGTACGGGCCCTTGCTGATTTCTGGGACAGTTCTGGGCATTGTTGCTAGTCTCCGAGTAGTCATTAGCTCGTGTATCCATCATTCTATTCATGGTACAAGATAAGTTAGTTTTTAGATTTCTAGCTGGAGGTAATCTTTCTACTTGAAATTAAGGTTTAGTTTTCTTAGGGCGTGGCGAAATATTAAAGCAATTAACAGTCAACAGATATAGATCAAATCATCACTTTATATATTTATAGTAGGCATCAGCACAAAAGGCTTCCAGATTAGAGTTTAATTCAAAAGGCACTACACACAGCATAGTCACAAAGTTACTACATATATCTTAAAGATCCTTACTATAAGTGGATCTAATAAATGCCTAGCTTACTACCCTTAGATTAACTCTCATTCCCAAAGTAGTCGAAATCTTCTTCACGATCCTCATCTGTCGAGTTGGTTGACTGGCCAGGCGAATGGGGTGTATAAATCGGTAAAGGGGGAACGTGCTCAGATGACACCTCAATTGGAAATGCTATAGTCGTTCCTAGCTGCACTGGTTGTTGCTCTACCTCCATTGGTTGACTATTTTCCTACCTAGTGTAGACGCGCCCTTGGGCCTCATGCTACAGTCCGGACTCGATTTGTGTGTCGATTCTTAATCTGATCTCACAATGTGCAATGTGAGATTGATAAATCACCAAAGAGTCCAAAACAAGAAACTAGTTAGTAATCATGCATGATCCTAGTTCATGTTAAAGTGGCTAATGCATCGCATACAAAATGTCACTAGAATAGGCTCGGCTAATCTATGGATGGCATGTGAAATGCGACAGATAGCATATATTCAAGTTAGATTTGAAATACTATGCAGTTAGCATGATGCGCCGAGCCCGGCGCATGCAATACTGATGAATGATGCACGCATGCATAGCATAAGGTATGCTAAATTGAATATGCCCTAATACTAACCATCAAAAGCTAGTAAATGAAAAGGAGAAAGACGTGGGATTGGAAGACATACACACACTCACGCACGCTTATTACACAATTGCCCTCGCTCGGAGGGTCCGAAAGAATAATACAAATTAATTAACCTATAAGCTAATTAATTAATTACAGACCAATTAACTAGTTAAGCAAATTAACTAAGCTAATAAAGCGATAAAACCGTTTCGGGAAGAGGGCCCAATGCACGTATGCTCGGCTCCACTCGGAAACCCACCGCCATGCACAAGTTGCCTTTATTTTCACTGTTTTCCTTCTCTGAAGACTGCACAAGTCCCAAGGTATACCCTCTAAACACTGGGAAATGCCACCGACCATGAGGAATGGTCACTGGCCAAAGGTAAGTGGTCATCAACCATCTATGAAGCCATTGGCCAGAAATGGATAGCCGGCCGGCACTGGAGATGGCCGACCGGCCATATCTTCCTGCAGGAACCTGTTTTGATAGCAGCAGAGGGAAAAACAAGGCATGGCAATACATTTCAAAGCAATGTTTGTACCACCACACCCCTTATCATGTTTATGACTCAAAGGGGTATGGTTCTCGATTCTAGGACCACCAATCGCGCATTTCAATGCGTGATGGCCCAAGAAACCAAGTTGTGCATTTTGGTGTGGAATGAAATGCACATAAACAAACAATGGAGGCCCAACCTCTATCATAATCAATTCAAGAGGCAAGGCATGCATGCTTAGTGAAATGCAACCTAGGCATGCAAGCTAAACATGCAACATGAGGATGCATGCAAGCAAGCTAAGATGCAAATATGTAACAAGTATGCAAGTTAACAAGCATGCAAAGATGCAATGTGAACATGCAAACATGCAAGACGTATAACATGTTAAGTAATCAAAACAAGAGGAAATACATGCCAAATGCAATGTTATTCAAACATGCAACACATGCGATAGGCCAAGTATGTAACAACATGCAAGGCTAGCATGCAACAACATGCGAATGAGGGTCTTAGACTAGTTTAGGTAGCTCTCAAATAAGCCCAAAACAGTGGCCGAATGCTAAGGAAATGAAGGCCAAAATACACACAAACATGCATGCACACATGGTTCAAAACTTAAGCATCAAAAAGAAACTTTTAAGCACACGTAAAAGGGACAAACATGGACATATGGCATGCATACTAACCTCTGAAAATCATGTTATAAAGATGCCAAACCAAGTAAACAAGACAAGCCAACACTACAACAAAAAACACATTTGGCGACCCACAAATTTCGTCGCCAAAAATACAAATTTTGTCGCCAAAAGAATTGACGACAAAATACACAACTTGTCGCCAAAGCCCTGTCACTAAAAGTATTGGCGACGAAATCAGAAATTGTCACCGTATGTAAACATTTAGCGACAAGCAAAATTGGTCGCCAAAAATCATATATTTTGTCGCTATAAAATTACAATTTGTTGCTAAAAGGTTAAAATTTGGATAGGCTATGTACTTTTAGCGACAAATAAATGTGTCGCCAAAAGTACTATTTAACGACAAAATTAATTTGGTCGCTAAAAATCACGTTTTTAGTGATGAGTAAGTTTTGGTTGCTAAAAGTTCCTGGAATAACCACCAACTTTTAGCGACAAAAACAATATGTTGTCGCCAAATATATTAACAGCGACAAAACACCACCTGTTACTAAAAATTCACTACACAAATTTTTGATTTTAATAATTTTCCTGTTCAAAATAATTCAAAACACCTATTTTCCCGTGCACAATATATACACAAATGTAATGTAAATAATAATACACCTGTGCAAGACATTCATACTAATTCAAAATTAATAACTATGAAAAATCCCAATAAACATAATTACAATTCTCTGACAATCTAAAACATGCATACCAAAGTACTTACAAACTACTAATATCAAACCCATAAATACATTACCAAATCCTATGTCAAAATATTTTCAAAATTACAACCAAATATTTTGATGTTAAACATCTAACCAATAAGTCATTTACTAAAATCCTATATCAAAATATTTGCAAAAACACAACACCAAATATTTTGATACACCAAATATTTTGATGCTAAACATTTAATCCATAAATCATTTACCAAAATCCTATGTCAAAATATTTCCAAAAACACAAAATCAAATCTTCTGATGCAGCCCAAACTATTTTCCACCATTGCTAATCTGTCACATGAAAAAAGAAAAAACAATATTAGATTGACAACAAAAAAAAAAACTCGATATGAACTTCACAATTTTGATTTTAATTTTGTAACAGGAAGTCCAATCGGGTGCTATTTGCTCATACAACTCTATTTAGGCTTGAACAAGCTACCCGTGCTAAGTTTCGGTGGTTTCAGTGGTCATTTTGCAATTTTGGCCTCCGAACGGGCTTTTTAAGTCTTGTGTTTTACATTTTTCCTTCTAATTTTCTAACCAGAAATCCAATTGAGGTCCCGTTTGTTCCTACAAGTCTATTTAGGTTTGAACAAGCTGTCCGTGCCAAGTTTTGATGGTTTCGGTTGTCATTTTGCAATTTCGGCTCCTGAACGAGCCTTTTAAGTTTTGTGTATTACAATTTTCCTTCTAATTTTCTAACCGAAGATCCAATAGAGGTCCCGTTTGTTCCTACAAGTCTATTTAGGCTTAAAAAGGCTATCCGTGCCAAGTTTTGGTGGTTTCGGTGGTTATTTTGAAATTTCGGCCCCGAACGGGCCTTTTAAGTCTTGTGTTTTATATTTTTCCTTCTAATTTTTTAACCGGAAATCCAATCGATGTCCCGTTTGTTCCTACAAGTCTATTTAGGCTTGAACAAGCTGTCCGTGCCAAGTTTCGGTGGTTTCAGTGGTCATTTCGCAATTTCAGCCCCCGAACGGGCCTTTTAAGTCTTGTGTTTTACAATTTTCCTTCTAACTTTCTAACCGGAGATCCAATTGAGGTCCTGTTTGTTCCTACAAGTCTACTGAGGCTTGAACAAGCTGTCCGTGCCAAGTTTCGGTGGTTTCGGTAGTCATTTCGAAATTTCGGCCCCCGAACGGGCCTTTTAAGTCTTGTGTTTTACATTTTTCCTTCTAATTTTTTAACCGGAAATCTAATCGAGGTCCCGTTTTTTCCTACAAGTCTATTTAGGCTTGAAAAATCAGTCCATGCCAAGTTTTGGTGGTTCCGGTGGTCATTTCGCAATTTTGGCCCCCGAACGGGCCTTTTAAGTCTTGTGTTTTACAATTTTCCTTCTAATTTTTTAACCAGAGATCCAATCGAGGTCCCGTTTGTTCCTACAAGTCTATTTAGGCTTGAACAAGCTGTTCGTGCCAAGTTTCGGTGGTTTCAATGGTCATTTCGCAATTTCGGCCCCCGAACGGGCCTTTTAAGTCTTGTATTTTACAATTTTCCGTTTAATTTTCTAACCGGAGATCCAATCGAGATCCCGTTTGTTCCTACAAGTCTATTTAGGCTTGAACAAACTGTCCGTGCCAAGTTTCAGTGGTTTCGGTGGTCATTTCACAATTTCGACCTCCGAACGGGCCTTTTAAGTATTGTGTTTTACAATTTTCCTTCTAATTTTCTAACCGGAGATCCAAGCGAGGTCCCGTTTGTTCCTACAAGTCTATTTAGGCTTGAACAAACTGTCCGTGCCAAGTTTCAGTGGTTTCGGTGGTCATTTCACAATTTCGACCTCCGAACGGGCCTTTTAAGTATTGTGTTTTACAATTTTCCTTCTAATTTTCTAACCGGAGATCCAAGCGAGGTCCCGTTTGTTCCTACAAGTCTATTTAGGCTTGAACAAACTGTCCGTGCCAAGTTTCAGTGGTTTCGGTGGTCATTTCACAATTTCGACCTCCGAACGGGCCTTTTAAGTATTGTGTTTTACAATTTTCCTTCTAATTTTCTAACCGGAGATCCAAGCGAGGTCCCGTTTGTTCCTACAAGTCTATTTAGGCTTGAACAAACTGTCCGTGCCAAGTTTCAGTGGTTTCGGTGGTCATTTCACAATTTCGACCTCCGAACGGGCCTTTTAAGTATTGTGTTTTACAATTTTCCTTCTAATTTTCTAACCGGAGATCCAAGCGAGGTCCCGTTTGTTCCTACAAGTCTATTTAGGCTTGAACAAACTGTCCGTGCCAAGTTTCAGTGGTTTCGGTGGTCATTTCACAATTTCGACCTCCGAACGGGCCTTTTAAGTATTGTGTTTTACAATTTTCCTTCTAATTTTCTAACCGGAGATCCAAGCGAGGTCCCGTTTGTTCCTACAAGTCTATTTAGGCTTGAACAAACTGTCCGTGCCAAGTTTCAGTGGTTTCGGTGGTCATTTCACAATTTCGACCTCCGAACGGGCCTTTTAAGTATTGTGTTTTACAATTTTCCTTCTAATTTTCTAACCGGAGATCCAATCGAGGTCCCGTTTGTTCAACACAACCAAACATATTAAATGAAATGCTTGTAGTGATTTGAAAAGTAAATTATGAAAAATATACTTACAAAAGTGTTTGTTAATAAGATTCCTCTGATGAATAATCATTTTCATCAACCTGCATGCCTGCTTGATCCTTGGTCTTCCTCATAAACTTCTCAATCTCTTCAAATCAAGTTGATTATTATGGATTCAAATGAAATCAATAAAAATATTTAAACTGGGCAAATTGAGGCATTATTTTGTGGGAACAAGATTGTCAAAGCTATTAGTGGCAGGTGCTTGATGTATATTGGATTACTGTAGATGTTCTCAATAGCACCCATTATCTTGGCTTTTGCACATTGGTTCTTACATAATAGTGATGTAGTAAACTGAAAAGAGAGAAGAAAAAAGTGCAATTATACTGAAAAGATCCCATGCACAGTAATCATAACGTGTCACACCTTTAAGTTCTATGACAGCTATCTCTGTACCAGTCAATGCTTTTTTTGATCCAGCAGGGTAAAAACCTGTATCCACAAGTTGTTAAGAATAGCTAGGAAATGGTAATAGATTACATAAAAAAAAAATTAAAACTAACACAACATATACCTTTCAACTGTAAAGATTTTATAACAAAACCTAGAATAGCAAATGGAACCATCACAATTGCCTCCCCAAAGAATGCAAAACGCCAATTCCAGTGACCTACAACCCTTACTTTGTTGTTTCCCTTGCATCTTGTCTAGCTTATACATTGGCATTGAGCTTTTTATACAAGAAAAGAGACTCGACATATAGGACTGCATCTCGACCAATTTTAGTAACCTGTACTCATTAAAGCAACTGTCATTCTGTAGACCACTCAGAGTCCTGGTATTCTAGATGAAGATATGCAATGCCGAGCATCAATTATGATAAATGCAATCAAGATGTAGCAGGTATTTGTTAATATAAATTTTGTGAAATAAATCACTGAAAACAGAAAGGATTATTGTTCTAGAAGTGTCCACGTCAGTACAGAAATAATTCACAGGGTTCTTAAACATCATACATAATTTAAAGAGTAATCATATTCACCAAATAAAATCAAACTAGTATCTTAATTGATTCAGAACATTAAATAACTAGGCCAAACTTCCTGAAATATATTTTTAGCTCATTTGATGGCAATTTAATAATCATTCCAACATTGTGACTCACTGCAACAGGATTTTTCATCTTTCCTCATCCAGCATGACAAATAGTCATTGATGTAAAAAAGTGAATGACATCACACATTAGAGTCCTAGGACAACAAGAAAACAGAAAGTTGCCATGTTAACTTATGACATGTGGTTTCCCTATTTGTATGAGCATGCAATACCTAAATGAGTCGGATGACAATTGAATACCTCTTCGGGAACAATTGCAGACGCACATTCGGGAAATTGTTATATTTTTGTTATTTTAGAAAATTTCAGAGAACTTTGTAATTTTCAAATAAAAATAATGATATTCTATTTCAAAAATACAAATTTGAGATATTTTTAATTTTAAAGAACCAGGATTAAGGGGCTACATTTTAGTTTTGGAGGCCTAATTGTAATTTTTGGAAACTTAAGGACATTAATGTATTTTTCTTACCAACAAACACTAATCTCATGTGGAAGTTTCAATTACACACAAACACTCGTCATAGTTTATATATAGGGATCTCTTAATGTTTACCTACACACGTGGTTAGAGAGAGATGAGTCTTGTGAAGGAGAAACCCTAGGAGTCGTACTAGTGAATGAGGGAGAGAACCCCAAATTACTCTGTTTTCATTTTGCCGTACGATGTTTTCTCCCTCTCTCTTCTTCCATCTTCCATCTTCCATCTTGTACCTCATTTTTTTTTTCTAAATCCAACTAAACAAGAAATGAGAAACACAAAATCCAAGTGACAAATCACACAATATAATATTTGACAGCTATGGTTCCACAAGCATCAGAAGGAACAAAGCAGATTGGTAATATGTAATGAAGTTAATCTGATATAATTTTGTAACAAGAATTATAGAAATTTTCTTATGGTGAAAATACAGATGATATGATCCATAAAAATGAAATCATTGATAGTAACACTTTTTGTACTAGTTCAAAATGATAGTTAGCAACGATCTCTGCATTCCTAGAACATAACGGAAATACTGGAGCTTTGGTGCATGTATGATATATAATGCACTTAAACAACAATTTGGGAAAAAAGAGAAAGAAAACATCCCCCAAATTAGTTAAATCCCTTCATAGATTGTAATTTTCTTTATTGCCCTGTAAATCTTATGCCAAGTGCAATGCTTTCCAAATATAACATCTATTGTTTGAGTTATACCTTATCATTTTCTCAACTTGCTTTGCAACAATATACTCCAGATCTGCTTCTTTTTGCTTTGTACGTCCAGATTTTGCCATCTTCTTTGACCCCAACATCCGTGGCAACACATATAATTGATAATCCTCATGCAATAGTACATACTGCACATTTAGTATATAACAATGATTTAACTTGCTCGGTAAGCACATTTAATATATAGCAATAATAAACTAGGTCAGTAAATATCTTCTCTTTTTTTTGGGTGAATACTCAGTAAATACCACGTTTATAATAAGTGACTTGTAGAATTCACCTCATCTCTAAACAATGTAAGAACTAAATTTTCCTTCAGTACAACCTGAAACCAACCCCAAAAAAAGTGTAACGAAAACAATGGGGAAAAAACTACAGCATAAACAAAATAAGGAACATTTGCTATGAATAATTATTCATAACTGAAAAGTTTTCTGTTATGAATAATTAATGGCGATAGACGGATTAAGATTGCAACTTCTTTAAAATTTCAAGGTTTGCTTTTAAAAAAATTAAAAACTTAGGGTTTAACTTGTGACAAGGGTCAAACCCTAGGATCTATATTGTAATTTCCCCTTTAAATAAACTCTTTCGAGTAATAACAAGAGAAACAAAAAAAAAACTGCTTCAAGTTTACTAAAGCAATGTCGATGCTGGTGACTCTAAGAAGCTCGTCAGGACAAACAAGATATCCAAGTAATACCCATTCCCGATAAGAAGTAACATTTGCTAAGTCTTGAGCTCTCTGCATAAAATGAAATAAAAGTTTTGAAAAATAAAAAAGTAAAGATGAGATGAGTGATGAGACTGCAGTATGGCTATAAACGAAAATCCTTTTCTTTGACAGAACAGTCCTAGTTAACAGTACTAGAGATATCAAGGAGATTTCAATAAGTTAAGGACATCCCAACATTTTTCAGCATCAAGCAAATGACATATTTACCATTGGGTGTGCTGAATTTGTAAGAATGTCAGGATATCGAGGATGAAATGGACTCAGAAAACCCTCATTTCTCAGCTTCCTGGTATCTGTAGATAGAAATATTATAGGACCCACAGCCTCTAAAACCTGGAAAAGCATATTGGATGTTTAATCAAAATGATAATTGTGAAGAACTGTTGAAATTAACGCTTTTGGAAGAAAAGACTAAAAACTAAAAGATAACAATGGCAAGCAAGAAGCAACTATAATAGTCACACATGTAAATAAGTCCATTTCATTGTTTCTTGCAGGCACATACATGATTCCAGGACATGGGATCTTCCACCTTTATCACAACAACTGTATATATGTTCAAATTTATTCACATCATTCTAACTAAGACAGAGTCAAACAGTAACCTGCAAACAATAATAGATACCATGACCGGAAAGAAACTAAACAACAGAGTACAGAAAACCCCAAACTACTAATAAAGCTCATAGTGAAAAGATCCTGAAAGAAAATCTGTATATTATGAATCCAACAGTTGAGCAAAAGACCAAGCCAATTTTTTCATTAGAAGAAAATTGAATTTTTTATGAGATTATTTCAGAAAGAGGAAAGACATATAACCTCTCCAATACGAGGGCTGACAAAATTCAAGTCTTCATGTAATCCTTTCAATGGCGGATCATAAGAGTCAATGAATTGAACCAGCCTGTAATTCAATAAAATGAAATATATCAGCTGCAACATGTAACAATGTCGTTCATAGCATATCAGGGGAAAATCATAATATCCATGTTATCTGAACTTATTTGGGTCCACAGTGTAACTTTATTATAAATTTAACCTGATTGATTAGTACTTTTCAAAAAATAATATATAAATAAGATGACTGGCTTGTGATGCAAAACATGTATCATATGTATCAAGTTTGCAAAAGCATTTAAGTATTTCAATAATACCTCAACACCCTGGACTTCTGTTCATTCCTTGAAATATCTCCCTTTGTTAAAGTACTAAATTCATTGCAAAATTTAAGAGCATGATTATATGAGCGCAAACCAGTAGGCATCTGTCATGTTGGTATTAGACTATAACACCATCAACTAAATACAAGGAAAGACAACCGGTCCAGCATAGCATTATATTTTTCCCCCTTATGATGACACAACTAGAATGTAATTATTTGGTAACATTAGCATCAAATTTGTCTCAAATAATTTCCAGTGACACTTCAACCACTGAATAATCACAAAACATAAAGTTTCATATACCAGCAGGCTGCATAACACTTCTAAATTAATGTGAATCAGAATATAATCCCCTAACTGCTATCTCAACATGGGAAAAGGAGATCTATATGTCCTGCTTAATTAGAGAATGATATTCAAGTATAACCTGCCCAATCGACTTCTAATTTATCATGTTTATTAAGGCAACTCACAAACACACTCAGAATTTCTAGTGTTAATAGCAAAAGAAGTGGATTCACAACTTTTTCATGCATCAGCTCAAGTGGATAAATAAAATAAGTATTCTTCATATCTCATCCGAAAACATATAGTGCATATTACCATTAAATACAACAAAAGAACCAAAAAAAAGCCGAGAATCCAGTACAAAAATTCTAATTCTAGTTCACATCCACAACCCAGAAAATATAAAAACAGAAAACAATGAAAATGACTTTAATTAGTCACATAGTCAAAGAAATTGCTCATACAAATTCTAGTCCACTGCAACTTTTTGTCTCTTTCAAACCAACACACAAACACGTGGTGGGTGTGAAAAAACCATTTACAAAATGCACACCAAAAAACAATTACTCAAGATCACCTATAATTACTCTGATGTCTCTGAAATCATCAAAATTTCAAAATATTCACAAAAATCAAAGCTTAATGCCTAGCACAAAACATTGGTTCAACAAATGATCAAACTACCAAACTCAAACCAGATTTCACGAGAATCAAAATCTATAAGGTGATATATCGAAAAATCTGAGCCACCTTTCCATGCCAGCAAATTTGTGCAATCGATACCCAAAATTATAATATTAGTCCCAAAAAAATACAAAATCAGTTGCAAAATCAGTCCGAAATTCAGAATATACCAGTCCCGAAAATCAGTTCTAACATCAGTCCAAAAATTAGAATATATCAGTCCGAAAATCACAATATCAGTTCGAAAAATTAGATTGATGACAGAAGAAAAAGAGGAAGATGAGAGAGTGTGAGAGTGTAAGGGAAAAATCAGTCCCATTGATTGTGTTGTGTTCTGCAATGCCGAATGAAATTGATGATAAAGAAGAAAGAGAGGAAGATGAGACAGTATGAGAGAGTGAGAGAGTGAGAGTGAGAGGGAGAAGGAGAGGGAGACGAAGAAGAGGGAGAGAAGACATACCTCTTTCCTCTGTTGTGCCGCTTCAGGTTGTGGAATGAGAAGACGAAGAAGACTTATTTTAGGTCAATATTGTTTATTCGGTCATTAAAAAAAGAAAAAACAGATTCAAAGCCACGTTGTTTTGACAAGAAATTTATTAGCAACGAAAATTATTATGTTGCCATAAATATCATTCACCTTTCAGCGATTATTTTAATTCCGTCGCCAAAAAGTCTAAATTGGCGACAAACATTTTCATCGCTATATATTAATTTCGTTGCCAAAACTTTTTTAGCGCTCCCGCACTAAAAATTAAATTGGCGCCAACCATTTTTGGCAACGAATTGAGATATTTGTTGCTAATGGTGTATTTTTTTGGCGACGAACACGTATATTGTCGCCAAAAACATACAATTGGCAACTAAATTCAATTTGGTTGCTAAAAATCGTCGCCAAAAATGCTTTTTGTTGTAGTGCAAGCATGCAACAATATCCAAGACTCAAGGGGGCTTAAACCAAAGCTATATGAAGCAAGCCCCAAAGGGCCAGGAGGACCTAAAACAGGTCCAATGCAAGGCTAAACAAGACCAAAGACGCACCTAGATGGCATCTAAATGGTCTAAACATGGAGGCATACATAAAGGTCCAAACATGGAGCATAAGACACAAGCCTTTTAAAGCATTAAAGGGGCATCAAATGCAAGCATACAAGCATACCACAAGGACTGAAATGCTACTATAAGTGGTGCCAGACCACTAAAACAAGCAAGTAAAGCATGCTAGAGGGGTCAACACTTAAGGCTCACAAGGGGGATTACATGGTAGCTATACAAAGCAAAGCATTGATGACCCGAGCAACAAAAAATAGACCTTGGGCACACTAAAATATGCATAAAAGCTTCACAAAGCTAGGCCAAAACAAGTAAGCATAGTGGTCTAAATGTTAGGCACATGTTAAGGCAATTCATGGCATTACAAGACAAGTATGCTAAGCATGCATGGTGTGTCTAAACCAATTAAAAAAAGTGCTATATCATGGCAAAATAAGCACAAATAACACTTAAGACATGGCCAACATGCACTTAAACAAGATGCTCACACATGAGGCTAAAATGGCCAACATTGAAGGCAACAAGGAGAGGGGATGGCCCTCTCCTTCTTACAACCTTAAAGCACCATCCCCACCACTGAAATCCCTCTGGATTTCAGTGGTGAGGAGGCCCAAACAAGGTGGTCCAAGAGCTCACCAAAAATGCACAAAATGGGGACCAAACAAGGCCTAAGAGGGGTCAAACAACCCCAAACAACAAAGTGACCTCAAACAACTATTTAGAGCACTCAGAAACTAGACTTTTATTAGTTATATACAAAGTCTAAAAACAAATGCAAGGTAGGTTAAAAGACTATGCAAAAATGGAGAATAAAGAGCAAGAATCTTACCCTTGTAGACCCCTTCAAGGATGGAGCTTCAGCAGCCTTCCTTAGCTCGAAACTAGCTCAAAACTTTGAAAACAAACCTTTGGCACCTCAGAAACCAAGGTAAGGTGTAGCACTAGGTGTTTATGCACAAAAGTAAGACACAAACACCTTTATATACACACAAAAGCAAAAACAGAGAGATATAGAGATAGGTGATACACAAACCCTAACCCTAATCCAGACCTCTGAAACTCAACCTTCTAACCCTTGAGAAGGGAGGAGAAGGCCTCCCGTTATAGAGGATCACTCTTGCAAAGCTTACAAAACAAGCTAAGCAAGAGTAAAATCCCTCCATACACATGTATGGTGGGAGGGCAAAGTGGGTGCCAGCTATCACAGCTGGCACAAAATATCAGCCAAAAGCAGATGCACAGTGGTCGGCTGACCATCAATAGTGCCGACCGGCCAAACATTTGTCCGATGGCAACAAACAGTAGCCGGTGGCCTCAAGCCATGGCCGGTGAGGTGTGGGGATGGCCAACAAGCAATTCCATGCCCTCCAAAGCAAAAACACAAGTGTTTGGTGCAAAACCAAACACAAAACAGTCGAGTCGAGAGATCTTGAGGCAAGGCGCGTGGCCGAGACCTCCGGGAACTCAAGATGAACACAAACATGGATGATCACCGAGTGCTCAAACGGTGACGTCCAAGTCTTGAGGATGGTCAAAAATGGGTGTCTACACTAGGTAGTGAGATCTACCATTCTTAGCTTGCACCGGGTGTCAGTGATGCTTCGTCTGCCAACTGTTTATCTTCCAGTCATCCTGCTCCTTTCTAACAGCACTCTTTGTTGTACGACTCAGGTACTGTAGGCGGCGTCGAACCAAGGATCTCTTTTGCTCATTCATATAGTAAGAGTAGTCCATCTCCACTCTCTGTATCTCCTTCATGATCATCTCTTCAGCGGCAATGGTTACGCGAGCTAAGGGTTAAACCTAGACTCTAATACCAAGTTGTGACATCCCAAATCTACACTAAGGTGGTAGTCAAGGGAAGCTCACTAATGAGTCTTATGGCCAATGACCAAATAAGATCCCAGAATGCTGGAGGAGTCAAATTAGCCTTTCTTCTAAGTCCAGCTTTCTTAGGTAACACACTACCCTTTTGACAAATCTTAAAATGCATCGATGCAAGGTCTTATAAGCAACGTAGGGAACTATATTGGTTTTTAAAAAGGCAAGCATATAATAATAATAAGAGAATAGATACAGTATGTACTTAGATACAAAAATTAGTTTCATCAATATTACATCCCAAAAATAAAATTTCAGATGGACTGTACAAAACACAAAAGAAAATTTCTAACTTCTTGTAGACACCCCATTTTTGACCGCCCTTAAGACTTGGGCGCCACTGATTGCTTACTTGATGGTGCAGGCTATGCTATGCAAAGGTTCGATTTCTTCGGCAAGAGGAGCTCTAAATCCCAACCTCACACCCCATTTTGGACCAAGACTTTTGACTAAAATGATTTTTAAAACTTTCTCTTTCAAAAAATTTTTGAAAAAAAGTTTCTACGATGTTCCGAGGATCGCATTTTGTTAAATGTTGCGCTTTTCGGTAAACCGAGCAAGGACAAAGTGGAATGAATGAAAGATAGGTGAAATTTTTGAAAAAATCCTTAGAACACCTTATTTAGAGGTTTGGAGTTGAAGAAAATTAGAGGAGAGCGAAGAAACCTAATTGGGGAAGAAGTTGGACATAAACCGTTAAGAGAGAGTCAAACGGCCTTCGGTAAATCAGGCCTATCATTTTGTATACTTGGATTTCAACTATGAGGCCACCATCATTGGAAAGTGGACATCCAGGGCTTCATTTTGCACTCAAGAATCTCCTCAAGCCGAGCTAGATGAGGGAGATATAGTTGGTTGAAGTTGGGCATCAATCAGGTTAAAACTGAAACTGAGCAGTCTTCACT